ATATAATACAGAATAAATAGATATTTTATCTCTTAGTGCCTGTTCCTCTTAGTACAATGTCCTAAAAGACAGAAAACAAGGCAGTAACTAACACAGAAAGTATCGGTTGCTATTGCCCTGTTACTTAAGGAAGAAAGAGGAGAGAAGACAGTTGAGTTAGAAAACAAGTAGCTCTTGTAAGAAAGCGCAAGCAAAGGCTAAAGAATAGGGCAATAAAGGGAGAATAGCATTTATTCAAAATGAAAATGGCTAAACTATCCTTGCTAGTACTGGTAGTAATTAACCAAGTTTTTCCTGCTTAAGTATTAGTAGATTTAGGATATAAAGCTTATAGACTAATTAATTAATATTATGCCCTTTGCTATAACTTATAGCGTATACCTATTGCCCCCTATATAATAAATAGTATAAAAGGGGAATTAGATAAAGACTAATAACTTATAAAAGTTGTTAAAATAGAAATAAATATAAAAGGATATAAACAAAGTCTCTTCTGTTATATAATATCTAGATTAAAAGGCTATAAGATAATTCTTAGTTACTTATAAATGGAATTTAAGAAAGTAGACTTATAAGCTAGTAAGAACGAACTGCTTTTTAAAGAAACTAGGTTAGTTATAAAGTAGGAAAAGGACTTACTATAAGTAAACTACTAGCTAGTAAATACGGCAGCTTTTGATCTTTTTGCAAAATTATAAAAATATAGAAAAGTATAAGTCTTTGTTACTAGTCTAGCAGATATTAATAAAGTGCTTACTAAGAAGAAGAAAACAGACCTACAGACTAAGTTACTAAGTTAGATTAATCAAGACAAGTACCTAGATCTGTTTAGTATAAAGAAAGCAAATTAACTACCTCTTTATTAGCCTGGCGTTAACTACAAAATTAAGCTAGAAAAAGATAAGGATGGACAGACACTAAAAGCACTATAGGGCCTGTTATATAATATGTCTAGGGATGAACTATTAGTTCTACAAAAGACACTAAATAACTTACTAAATAAGGGATTTATTTATATATCTAATTTGCTAGCAGTAATACCTGTCCTCTTTGCAAAGAAATCAGGGGGCAGACTACGTTTCTGCTATAATTATTAAGTCCTTAATTATCTAACTAGAAAAGACTATTACCTATTATTATTAATCTAAGAAACCCTGAACTAAATTAGCAGAGCCTATTAACTTACTAAACTTGATATTATAGTAGCCTTTTATAAAATTTGAATAGCTAAAGAGGACAAATAAATGATAGCCTTTTAGACACATTTTAGGTTATATAAATAGATAGTGACTCCCTTTAGTCTAACAAATACTTTAAATACTTTCTAACAATATATTAATTAGGCGTTAAGAGAATACTTAGATAAATTCGTTTTAGTATATATTAATAATATTTTAATCTTTATTAAAGATTTACAGAAATAGCATTAAAAGTATATACATAAAGTACTAAATTAATTAAATAGTGCTGGCTTATATTTAAATTAATAAATATAAATTTAAAATAAAATTAACTAAATACCTTAGATTTATTATTAGTAAAAGGCAAATTCAAATAAATCTACAAAAAATTAAAGCTATTCTAAATTAGAAAGCCTTAAAAATAATAAAAGGTATATAAGCCTTCTTAGGATTTGCAAACTTTTATTACTAATTTATTAAGGACTTTTCAAATCTTATAGCGCTATTAACCTAATTAATAAAGAAGAACGTTCTATTTTATTAAAATTAATTTATATAAAAAGCTTTCTTAAGGCTTAAAAACCTCTTTATATTAAGCTTAGTACTAGTATAGTTTGACTTTAAACAAGAGACAGTATTAGAGATAGACTCGTCAGGATATTATATTATAAGAATCCTTTTATAATATAATAATAAGGGTTTTTTATAGCTTTATACTTATTTTTCTTAAAAGAACTAACTAGCAGAATATAATTATCAAATTTATAATAAGGAACTACTAATAATAATAAAATGCCTTTAAGAATAGGATACAAAACTATAAAGCATAAAGAAATTTAAGGTAATTATAGACTATAAGAACTTAGAATACTTTATAATAATAAGAAAACTCACAAAATAATAAGTCTGCTAGGCTAAAGAACTAAACAAATATAACTTTAAAATCAAATATTAGCCTAAAAAAAAAGGAATTTAATTAGATGTCCTAATAAGAAGAAAACAAGACCTGCTTATTTTAACAGAAGATAAATATATATAATACTAAGAAGGACAGCTTCTTTAATAATAAGGAAATATATTAAGAGCGAATTATTTAAGTTTATTAGATAACTTCCTATAATAGGATATAGCAGATAAAATTAAAGAACTCTAAAGAATCGCACTTAAGTATAATAAAGATTACCTGCGTCTTAAAGAATTAATATAGCAAGGATTACAGATATTCTTAACAGACTTACTTTGATAAGTAAGAGTCTTAATAACAGATTATAGACTAGATAAAGGGGATTAATTAACATATAAGAATTAATTATAAGTACCTAAATACAAATCTCTTTAAACTAGAATTATTTAAGAACTCTATAATTTATCTTTAATAATTTACTTTAATTAAGAAGGCACTATATTATTAGTAGGAAGACAGTATTTCTGGCCTAACTATATTAAGGAGGTATACTGATTTATAAGAAACTATAATACGTATAGCTATTTAAAAGTTTAGTAAGAAAAGAAACATAGGCTACTTTATTTACTAATAATTCTTAAAAGGCAGTAGAAAAAAATATTAATAGACTTTGTAAGGCCTCTACTAAAGAGCGATAATTATAAGATATTACTAGTAATAACTAATCACTTAAGTAAAGGCATTATCCTAAAAGCATGCCTAAATACTAAGGTAGAAATAATCACAAAAATATTCCTTAAATTATATTATAAAAGATATAGACTCTTTATTATAATAGTTTTAGATTAAGGGCCTTAGTTTATATATAGATTTTAAAAGCGGCTCTATTAATAATTACATATTTAATAAAGGATTTTAATAGCGTATTATTTAGAGATTAATAAAGCGATAAAACAAGTAAACGTAAAAGTTAAGATTATATTATAATAACTTATTAATTATAATTAAGATAATTAGGTAAAGAATTTACTTATTATAGAATTAGCATTTAGCGAACAAAATTCTACCTTTATAAAGACTAGCTTATTCTTTCTAAAACACAGATATTATCTAGAATTACTAGAGCTATTTAAACTAAATAGTATAGGTAAAAAAACAACCCTAATTTAAAAAGCTAATAATATTATAGTTAAACTAAAGCAAATAACAGAGTAGGCTTAGTTAGCTATAGCTAATGTGTAATAAGAACAGGAACTACAGGCAAATCAACATAAGAAAGCCTAACTAGCATATAAAGTCAGTAATAAGGTATAGTTATCCTTAAAGAATATCTTAATAGATTAACCTTTTAAAAAGTTAGATGATAAAGCAGCAAAGTATACTGTAACAAAGGTAGTTAGACTGCAAAGCTACTGCCTTAACATTACTAGTATACATAATGTATTTAACGTTGACCTGCTCCAGCTAGCAGCTACTAACACCCTTCCTTTATAGCGCTTAAAAGACTATTAGCCACTATCAATAATTATCAACAAGGAAAAGGAATTCAAGATAGAGACAATTCTAGGGGAAAGGATACGCCGCCGTCAAAAGCAATACAAAGTCAAATGGAAAGGTTACTTGAGACTGTCGTGGGAGCCAGCTTCCGCTCTGGAGGATACCGTCGCCCTAGACGAGTATAAACGACGGAGAAGGGGGGGTGATGTCATGGGGTAGAACCCATGGAGACCTGGGCCACAGCCTCAGGTCAACACGTGATGCCTTGGTACGGCGTCACGTGATAGTGAATAGCTGAGTCAAGAAGGCAGCTATAGTTAGATATTTAAGAGCTAGGGATAAATAGGAAGATAAAGAGAGAAGAGGAGGGAAAAGAGAAAAGGGAAAAAGAGTAAAAGACTCCAAAAAGAAGTCAAAGGCAGCCATCAGGATGATCCAGCGTACGAAGATCCTGGACCAGTTCAGAAGGGCCGTTGACTAAGACGTAGAATAACGTCTATAAGGGTCAAGCGGAAATCAGGAAGAGGAAGAGGACAGAATAAAGGAAGAGGACAGAACAGAGGAGGAAGAAGGGGGAAGGAGAGAAAGGAAGAAGGGAGGACTGTACGAGTAGCGAGAGAAGGTTGACGAGCAGACCTACATAGGCTTTTAAGTCTGAATTAGGTTAATAGAATTTATTACTACTTATAAATCTTATAAACATTATATTTAGTACCCCTTATAATATTATATTCTTAATATCTGTATAATTAATAGTTATCTTATTTAGAAGAGAGATATAGCAGACACAAAGAAAAGAGATCAACGCCTGTTTTAAAAAGCGCTTATTAATACCCTTCTTAATACGCCCTATCCTCTACTGCCTATTAAGTATAAGAGCAAGTCTATAGCCCTGCCAAATAGAGCAACTCTTGATCATTGCTAGCAGCCCTTAGAGAAGCGTGGATACTATATATAATGCAAAAAGAGCGCTCAAGAGGAGGAGAAGAGCAGCAGGCCAGCATTAGCCGAAATCGTCAATTACGCCGGTTCTAAGCGTACGAAACTGTCGCACGGAGGATGTAGAAGCTGCAACGTATATCTATGCGTAAAAGGGCGGTGTTTTGAGCAATTCCACTGGCAGTAGCTAAATAATTTCCTGCTGGCGGTTTTTGCTCGATTTCTATATATGCCAAGCAATTTTGACGCTAAAATGCAGCAAATTCCCACCGGCGCGTGGGATAGAGTACTAGTTCTGTGTCAAGATGCGCAGTCTTGGCAGTAATCTGTGGTCGCGTCACGCGTGTCAAGTGTTGCACATAAATTAGTCTTCACAAACCCGAGCCCACCAGGTAATTGGCTGCCAAAACAATACTGACCATGCTATGATAAATCTCTTTGACACTTGCAGGTACACTTTTGGTCAAGTACTTGGTCTCATGGCTCCGATGGAGGTTGACGAGGCTGCTCCAGCACTCTTCGCGCAATGTCGGTTTGCGCTGGTCTGCGGCGACGGCCTGGACGATGATGCTGCAAAGAAGGTATGCGATATTCACGGACTGCGGCACATTGTTCTAACAGATACCAGCTTGCAAGCACCCTGAAATTGCACGGTGGAGAAATTGTGACTGATCAATACGATGGCGAAAATCTACCACTTGAAGAACTCACCCATATCATTTGCGCCACATGCGACTTTCCCAGCTATGATGCCGCGTCAGACGCTTTGATACCAGTAATCAAACCACACTGGGTCGATGCTTCCCTGGCAAAATCAAAGCTCGCCAATCCTCGTCAATATAGTTCAGATCCTCGATTGATCATGTCTAATGTCGTTATTTGCTGTGCCGACTTGCCCGAAGGAGACAAAGATGCGATCATTGGTGGTGTACTTGCGATGGGAGGATTGCATTCTGCAAAAGTTTCGAGCATGGTTACACATATCGTCGCGTTGACCATGGATTCGGAAATCTGCAGAAGTATTGCTATGAGGAAGCTCAACATGAAGATTGTTTTGCCTCATTGGTAGGCTTAGTTTATCTTCCTCGTGACGCCTATTTGCTGACAATCGTCACAGGTTCGATGACTGTCTCAAACTCGGACGCCGGATCGACGAAAACCCATACCTCCTCCCAGATCCTGAGATCCTTCGCCACTCTAATGCTATCGCACCGAGGGCTGCAGAAAATGGACATCTCACTGGTGCCATTGACCCTGATCCATCTCATGCTCCGTCTTCAACCACCATCCGCTCACCACGTGGTCCCCTTCAGGTCTTCGCCAGGAAGAAAGTTATGTTGTCTCAAGATCTTGGTATAGGCAGTCATCTCAAGGATGTCCTAAAGGATTTAATCGAGGAAAGTAGCGGTCATGTGACTGAAGATTCGCGCAAGGCCGACATGTTCATATGCAAGTATCGTGAGGGGCCTGACTACCGTCTGACGTCGCAAGCTGGCAAAGACGTTGGCAACCTCGCTTGGCTCTACTATCTGATCACCAACAACTCTTGGACGTCGCCTATGCGTCGGTTATTACACTATCCTATTGCTCGCAATGGCCTTCCCGGATTTCAAGGGCTCCGCATCAGCTTGTCCAACTACAGTGGAGAGGCTAGATTATATCTGGAGAATCTCATCACAGCTGCAGGTGCAGAGTGTACAAAAACACTGAAACAGGACAATACCCATCTAATCACTGCACACATCATGAGCGAGAAATGTGCGGCCGCAAAGGACTGGGGAGTGCACATTATCAATCATCTGTGGCTAGAAGAAAGCTATTCGAAATGGAAATTACAGAGCATCACAAATTCCCGATATACGCATTTCCCTCGTCGAACCAATCTAGGAGAGGTGGTAGGGCAAACGAAAATCGATCGTCATGCTTTGGAGCATTATTTTTTCCATACCGAGGATACGGAAATGGAAGACGCTAAGGATCAATCACAACCCATGCAACGGAAAGATCCAAACATGGCGCCAATACCAACTAGCAGTTCGGTAAATACCCCTCGAACGCCTCACGTGAGACAGAAGGCAGCCAGAAACAGTGCTCATGCTGCCGGGACGCCGCGGCATTCCACAGGTGTGGAAAGAAAGTCAGAGGCCGGCAAGATGCGGACTCCGGCAGCAGGACGGATTGTCAGTGACGGCAAAGAGAACCAAACCCCCTCAACAACGAGTAGTCGCAAGGCTAAAGATGCAGCGGCCGCACGTCTCCATGACATTGTTTCGGATATCACTTTGTACGAAAAAGAAAAGAAAAGAGTAGGTGGTGTTGTCTATGGTGGACGTCGAAAGAACGACCCTGATCGAGTGGGGGCTGATCGGAAGAGGTCAATCACTGAGGATCCTGATAGTGATGCGACTGAGGGCGGAGAGTCGAAACGATTGCGGACTGGTACGGCTCGATCGACGATTCACTTACTAGTATCAGGATACAAGAAATGGGTTTCACATCCAAAACTCGAGGATGCCAACAAGGTCCGTTCCCTGCACCCCCAGTGTCTGCTCTTGACTGACGTTTACAGAAACAATTAAGAGATCTTGGAATCATTGTGACGCAAGACCCATCTCGCGCAAGTCATCTTGCAGCTCCAAGCATCCTTCGGACCCACAAATTTATCTCAGCCATGGCGTACGCGCCAACCATCGTATCCACTGATTTCATCGACCAATGCCTTGAAGAAAACGAATTCCTACCCCCTGAAGACTTCCCGTTGCAAGACAAAGCAAATGAGAAGCGCTTCCAGATTTCGCTCGCCGAATCGCTGAAGCGAGCTAAGGAGAACCACAACAAGCTATTTGAAGGTCGCACGATATACTGCGTGGAGATTATCAATGGAGGTTTCGACACATACAAGTCCATCATCGAAGCCAATGGAGGTCAATGTAATATGTATCGAGGAAGACCCGGGACAATGGTGCCGTCACGACGAGCGGATAGTGAAACAAGTACGGCAGAGGAGGCAACCCAGGCAGAAGTCTTTTTGATCAGCGGCCAAGACCAGGAACGCCTCTGGTCCAGGTTCCGACACATGGCTGAGAGAAGCAGGAAGATCCCCAGAATTGTGCGATCGGAGTGGTTGATTGAATCGGCTATGGCGCAGAAGATCCTGCCAGTTGGTCCTCATGAGCTTCGCTGATCCTCGTACTGTGGTACCAGCCCGCTCCTCGAGAAGGGGTTTTGCTCCACAATGTTTGAAGAGAGCTGGGTTTTGCATAGCGTAGGCGTATCTTCGGTGTGCCGTCCAGTGTTGGAGTGATGCTAGGTAGGCAGTGAGGTTTGCAATTAAAGAGCATCGATTCAAAAGAACTTGACTCCTTCTTGCCCCTCTCCTCCAAACACCTGCGCCTTTCCTTTCTTGACCAGAGTCCCCAGACTCTTCCTCAGTACCTCCATGTCCATTCCATGAAATTCCTGACTTTCCGTCGCCTCACCCTCTACTAATTCGTACAGCGTCAGCACCGTTCCCTTCTGACCCGTCCCATCAACCCAAGCCTCCAACACCCCAGCCCATTCCTCCGGTCTACGCCACCAGATCCACGCGCTTGCTTTCTCGGTAGCCGGTCCGATCCACTCAGCGCGATTATCACCCTCCTTACTGGTCATGTAATCGACAACTGCTTTAGCGTCATGTGCTGAGAGGCGACGCTTTAGCTTCGAATTGTGGAAGAGAGGCGATTCGAGGGCATCTGAGAGGAGAAGCTTGAATATACGGTGGTGGCGGCAGTACGATTGGACCAGGGACGACCATTTGGAGAGTTGAGCTGAGCGAGTCTGAGCGTTTGGTTGTGGGCTAAAGAAAGGTGGGAAGGAGTAAGTGGGAGGGAACGTGAACATGGAAGAGGTTGTCAGAGACGATGAGGCTGTTGCCATGGTATGCTGTGACTTTTGCTTATACCAATGCCTTTCCGACCCTGAAGGTGGTTGACAAAGGTCGCAACACATGACAGAATGTTATAATCCGTTGCTAGATTAGATTAGATAAGATAAGATTAGATCGTGGATAGATGCCTGCTATGGTACCCTTCAACCCACACCCAGCTTGACCTACCACTCAAACACACTCATTTCACATTATTTGCCCGACTCTATCCGCTTTGAACACATCACATTCACTTGCTTGGTATCAAACATGTCGGGTGAGTATACAGCCCTTCACCACCCGCTCTACAAAACACGTATACAAACTGATTTTGACATCCCCTTCCTAACCGAAGACAACGACCCCGACTCCTCCATGCTCTCCACCCCGTCCAATGAAGACGAGCACGACTCAGATCAAAATCTTTACAACGAAGACGAAGATCAAGACCTCTTCCCCTCCTCCGACCGACCCTCAACACCTAAGAACAATCACCTCAATGCAACCGCGCCAGGCGAACTGTCACCCCCACAATCACAGTCTACTTCACAACGGGTAGCAACTGAGCCGGACGAGTCGGTAGAGATGGGTGGAATGGGTAATGGCGACGGAGCGGGGGCTTTCGACAGTGTGAATGTGAGCGTGAATGGGACGGATGGGGCTGGAGAGATGATGGGCGGGCAGCAGAATGGCAACGACAAGCAGTATGTGCCGGGTAGTGGATGGAAGAATAGGAAAGCACAGGAGGATTACCAGCGGGCGGCGGAGACCTTGGTGGATCGCGACTTTAGTTTGCGGGAGTTCGGGGACCTGTTTGATGATCGGGCGGTTGTGCAGCAGCAAGAACTACAGCAGGAGCAGCAGCCGGAGCAAATACAGCAGCCAGAGCAATTGCAGCAGCAGGCCGGTAATGGCACAGGAGGAGAGGCAGCGAAACAGGAATCATAAAAAGTGCTAGAATCGATGGCATAGCGATGGCGTCCTGGATCACTCTTATGATTGACTGATAGCAAGCCTGAAGAAGCAAGACGCTGGTTTCATAAAGAACTGGAAAATTGTGTGGCAGAGTGCCCAATGCTTATGGAAACCCCCCTGCTGGAGCGGTCTGCCTTCCAGACGCCTGCAATGCTCGCAGAGGCAAAAAGTCCCGTAATGTAATACACATTACAAAATCACCTCCTCGATGCACTCGGAGCCAGCCCCGGCACATTCGAGTACCTCTCATCCCGCTCCGTCTTAAACATAACCTGACACCAAAACTCCCTACTATCATTATCCCACCAAGTCCAGAACTTATCCTCGCGTCGATCCACCTCCCTAGCCTGCAACTTAAACCCACAAGTCTCATACGGCTCGGCTGCGATGAGGAGGTACTGGAAATTCTTATCCGGGGGATCATCAACCTTCTGCTCGTAAGCGCTCATGAATCTTACTCGCGGCTCCACACCGGGCGAGATCTCGGGGTATTGAAGCTGAAACAAAAGTCCATGCTGTCTCGTAAACGGATCCCTCGTCTTGGTGATCTTGTACCCCGGCCGCCCGATCTTAACCACGTTCTTCCTGACCGCCACACCGCCCATCGTCATTCCCCCGAGCGCTGCCGCTCCATCCTTGGCCTCCTTCTGCTCCCTGGCCGCGCGCCTGGCGAGGTTGGTTTGATGTTTTCGGCCCTGGGTGTGCGCAAGGTAGGAGCCGTCATTTTGGTGAACGGTGAGACACAGCCTGCATTCGAAGGAGCCGACGTGGTTCTTGAAGAAGTAGGGGTCTTTATCTAAGTCGATGGTTTCGAGGGCGAGTTTGCGCAGTCGTTCGCGGCGGTCCGCGTTGGTAGCGCTTTGGGAGGCGACACCGCCACCGCCGAATTTGGAGCCCGCGCGGTTTTGATAGTCCATGGGTAAAGGTGGTTGAGGTGTTGTGATCGAGAGACTGGAGGAGGTGTTGACAAGAAGTCTTGGTTACGGAGGTAATTGGAGATAAGATTTTGGGGGTGAGACCTTTATCTGGTTAGTCAGTACCGCCGCTTTTGCTCAAGCGCTATCCATCCTCGACTCACCCTCTGCTCATCTTGCTCACCCATTTGCTCAGACTGCTCAGATCTTGTTCAGTCATGTTTTCCTTCCACCCCAATGGGCCAATCATGAATCGTGACCTAACTGTTGTGCAGTTTCTGTCAAGTTTAAATGACGAGGTTCAGGTGCCCAGTTCGTGGACCTTAAAGCCTTTGAACTAGTCCTAGCCCCTTCAAAATAACTAAAATTTTGGTTAGCTTTTAGAAATATCTACCTTTTGATGTTTTTTCTCACTTTCATTATTTGTTAAATCTTTTTCTGCTACTATTTATTGGACAGATGACAACATTGGACTGCAGCTCCACGAGCCTAGAGCCCATACCTTCGCTCTCTTCCCTGTCATCTGCCTCTATTCTCCATCATGATGTGGAAATTGATACAACCCTCTACACGAGAACTTGGGGACAGCATCCTGCAGAGGACGATTCACAGGCAGTGCCCGCTTGGGTGGGTTTTTGCGGTAAGCGCTGACGAGGGCCTGGCCACCCTGAGAGGCATCGTGTGACGACAGTCAATCTAGTGTAACTTGCGATGCCAGAGCAGCCGAGTTAGTGGCAGTGTTCACAGTGTCATTGAATGTGACAAGGCAAACGGACAAAGTACTATGTGACACAAACCCCCCTTCCCCTCAGCTGTATAGAGATGCAGTCTAGTTCGACTGCCAGGCAAAGTTCCCGCCTGAAGGGGTATCATCTGACCAGCGGACGAATGCCGCATCGCAATAACAGGGACCTCTGCGTAGCTGCGCTGAAGCTGACTACGAGTTTGCTTTGATCCTGGGGAGGTCGACTTTCTCGGCAGGATCGGGAAGACAAAGCCAGTGCCATTGGAATGCTGACGCGAAATGGGTGTAATATGACCAATGGAGGAAGTGCCTCATCACAGTTACCGTGGTCTATGCCTGTTGGTCCGATCCAGGTTTAGCAGAATGTGTCCGCAATAGTCCCGCAGAGTTGAGTCCAGTGGGAAGCCATCAAGCCGAGCAAAATAATCAAGAAACCTCCCCGTTGTAGCAATTTGATACTGAAGCTGTACATCATTCAAGAAGGTCTCGCCAATCCATACAGTCAGGCGAAATATAAAAGGGATCCCACGGTTCATATCCTTTACAGCCACGATCGTAGCAAGAAGCACAAATTTTCTCGGCCGCCTGGACCTCGCACCCGTATCGAACTTGCTCGAATTTATTACATTCACTGCACACGAACCCGTGCCCTCCGAGCGCTCCTCCAAACTGGAGATATGTTCCTCGCCGATATCTTTGATGTGAAACCCCACATGTTATGCAAAAGCGCTGCATTCTTTCCGCTATGGTACCCTGTCCAAGTTTTCCGCGTTTACCCTTCATCATGGCGTTGGAGAATTGGCCGGCAGAGCGGATTTTCAGGCAAAGATGACATGCGAAGAAGTCTAGTTGGTCAACTGGCTGCCTGGACTCCGCTGGCTCGAACTCTGCTGCGTTGTACTCTGGCCATCGTTCTATTTCGAGGAGGTCTGCCATGCTATAGGCTTTATTTTTCGACCTGTCAGAAGACGGTACACAGGAACTTGTCTTGATGTTTCGGTTGGGGTCTTCGATTTTGGCATACAGATCACGGCAGGTGAGTCCTAAGGCCAGACGTGATCCATAGCTTAAGTAGCTTTGTATTTCCAGCAAGATTTCTGCAGGCAAGGCTGGCAAGGAATTTGCTGACATGATTGAAAGGTGGAATTGATGGAGGTAATATAGACTACAGTCGTACGCTTTTTGCGATTAAAGAATTGAAGCTTTGAAGGTCTTTGTCAATCCGGCCTAACTAAGTTAGTCCTAATTTCCATCATAGTAGGGGCGCACCAGCCTGACAATAGTTATGCCCACTCTGCAGCGAATGCCATTACCTCACTATACATAAAAATTGAAAGGAAGAGAGCTTGAGAGTTTCAAGCATGTAACAAAAGGAGATTAGTTGTAATCTACTGGCTTAGACGGTAAAGAGGAGGTCAACTCTTCTGCGAGGATCTAAACCAAAAAGGAAGAGGAGAAAAAGGTTATGGCTGTGACATGCGGCTGCGCCACAGCCTGGTTGCCTTCTGGACGACGCCACTCTCAAACTCATCTCCCGTCATATGAATTTTGTTTCTGCCAACGACTTTGAATGTGATCATGGCGGCCCCCATTGACCCAGTTCAAGCAGCCTTCCAAAGCGTGATACATGATTTCAAGGACAAGCTCAGTGACACCAAGCTCTACAATGAAATATTGAAAACGACGTCTATTGACGAAGTATACGATGCCACTGACAAGCTCCAGGAGGAACAGGCAAAAAATGGCCACCTCCGTCATCTGTCCAAAATCGAGCCGTACCTTGAACGACTCAGGGAGTACTCCGGTGCCATAGACACATTCGTCCAGACAAAGCCAAATGTTCTCGCACTCATATGGGGCCCGATCAAGTTGCTAATCCAGTGGACCAGCACTTTGAAGCAGTCGTTCGACGCAATCATCAATACGACAGAGGAGATTGGCGGGCTCCTCCCCGAATTCAAAGAAGTCAACCAGCTATTTGCACACAATGTACAGCTTAAGGACGTTTTGGTACTCTTTTTCCAGGACATCCTCGACTTCTACCTTGTTGCCTTGCAGTTCTTCAGTAAGCCTAGTAAGTTCCTCCCATAGCGACTAAGGTGCGATTTTGTTTGCATGGTCTTTTGACAATCTGGGCTCTTAAGGGTGGCGATACGTCTTCGAATCATTGTGGCCCAAACAGAGAGATAGAATTAAACTAGTGATAACAAATATTGGACGACACACTGCCCTCATGAGGAATGAATTCCGTATGGAGCACATTCGAGAAGAGCGCGATGCTCGTCTCCGAGCACTAGAGCACTTCGAGAAGATGGACAGGTCCAACAGGCAGCAGGAGTACAACATCATCAAGACTGGTATATCACCAAAATCCTATGACGATAAGTTGGATTGGCTCTATGGCCGCATTTGTGAAGGGACTGGCAAGTGGCTATTGAGAGACCCAACATTCGCAAAATGGCTGGACTTTGCAGATGTCTCAACGAAAATAGTCTGGCTCCAAGGAATTCCCGGAGCAGGTCGGTCAAAGCCCAATCATGAGAGTCATTGGCTATCTCTAATCACAATGACAGGAAAAACATTTTTGGCTGGAACCGTCATCAGCAAGGCTAAAACCACTGGGCGGGCAATATTTGCCTTCCTTAGCCATGTCTTCAGCAGCACATCCGCCTTATCAATATTACACTCCTTGATATTCCAACTCGCGTCCGACGATGACGATCTGCAAGCTGCACTTTGCCAATCGAGTCGAGCAGATCTCAAGAACAGTATCACTGTTGCTGTCAGTCTCCTGACAACGCTTCTCAAATGTGCCGGACCGGTATATATCATCATTGACGGCGGAGATGAGATTCATGAGATTGAGCGCGGAAGACTGTTCCGGCAACTTCTCGAACTGTCCAAGAACTGCGAGGAGACAAAGATCCTGATAAGCTGCAGACCAGAAGCTGATATAATAGCAATCCTTGGCTCGGCATCCACGTCGATTCGTGTGGACAACCGCAACGCCGGCAGCATTCAGGCCTTCATAACTCGTCAGAGCCAAAGGTGGTTCGAAACTCGAAACTTCCTTTCCAAGGAAAGGGCTGAGATCGAGGGATTACTGGCCCCAATTGCGGCCAATGCAAAGGGTATGTTTTTCTCAGATCAGGTCTTACTATATTAGCTCTGGCTGACCCGGGAAGGCATGTTCCTATATGCGAAGGTCCTTTGGAGCAGCATTGAACTTTTGACCGACGTTCAATCTATTCGAGAGGAATTGAGAGTACTGCCAGAGGATCTAGATGCCGCGTAAGGACTTGGGAATTTGGGTTACCATAATTTACATGCCTGACTCCAAGTAACAGTTACGCCCGGATCCTCTCAAGAATTAACAATCTACCTTCTGTCAAGGCGAAAAATCAAAGACGAAATATATTGGGATGGGTCGGTTGCTCTCCAACACCTCTGACGATTCAAGAACTAGAACAAGCCCTGATGGTCGACGTCGAAAATGTGGACGGCATTGTGCGGGTACCATGCAGTTTAAATATTGTCGAACTCTGCGGGCCAATTGTGGAAGTGGTTGATGAATACGTCCAGTTTGTTCACTTTACAGTCAAAGAGTATGTCGCTTTGTTGCGAAAATCCAAAAAACGAATATTATTGGCTGATTTCCATAGATACATATTCAACCCACGGGTCGACGGCAGTATCGACAACACAGAAGCGACTCTTAGCCTTGCCAAATGCTGCATCTGGTACCTTCTCCAAAGTCACTTTGATCCGCGGATTACAGATGACGAGGTTGCGGATAATATAATCTCTGGTAAATACCGGTTACACAACTTTGCCGTAACTATGTGGTCAGAGCTTGTCAAGCGTTACATTAGCCTGAATGGGTCAAAGTCTCTGTCAACCAAACTGATCTCCGCGCTTGAATGCCTTGCGATAGAAAGATCCAACAGCGACTTTAGCGGCAGCATCGAGCTGGCTGGTCAGTCCGACCAGCCGCAGCTGGAAAAATTCAAAGACCAGTGGCCGGAACTACACACAATGCTATGTCATGTAGCTCAGTTTCGTTGGCGATGCTCCAGTTCTGATTATCATATGAGCAAAGGTAAGATGTCCTGATGGCCGTGCAATCTGCTTTTTCTTAAATCGGACAGGAGATTTATGGATATGCTTCGACCCCCTGACAACCTGTCATGTATCCATATCCATCTATGAGCAATTCGAGGAATCATTGTGCAGAACCAAGAAACATGCGGACCATTGCTCCTGCCTGCTGTTGGAACGACACTACGGACGACGCCCTTTCAAGTGCGGGTTTTTAGGATGCTCGTTTCTTCGCTATGGCTTCCCTACGAAGTCCCTCAGAGACTCACACGTTAGGCACCATGACCGTCCTTGGAAGTGCGCCGTGCCGTCATGCGAATATGCAGAGACGGGATTTCTCTCCCGGAGAATGAGGGACGAACATCTGGATTCTTACCACCAGGAAGCACAATCGCACAACAATTTGTTGCCGAATGATCTTGACGCAGATGATATACAGCCTCTCTTGTTCGATCTCGTTGGATTAGACAGAGTTGAGGCGGTGAAGAGTGTTCTGCATCATTTCAACAAGCTCGACTCCTCTGTCCAAAAAGAACTAGGAAAACTAGCTGCCTCCTCCGGATCTGCTGCCATGGTCCAGTTGATATGCATCGCTGATAGCAATAGGATAAGCACATACCCGGACTTCTTGATTGAGTCAATAAGGGGTACGAACTTTGAAACGTTGAGATGGTTTCTATCTCGGATTGACAGTGAAGTACAAGAGGATAAATTTCACCTTAGTGCTTGGAAATTCGTCCTGGTGGCACTTTTAGAGATGGGATCTATAGAAATGTTCCAAGAGTGCGAGAAATACCTCCTCGCCGCATTTAGTACCACCACACATGGCAAGTATGTTAGATCTCAAGTTGTACGACACATGTGGCTAAAGGTGATCAGTGCTACAGCTGGAAGTCCAGATAGAGAGAAAGTTCTTTGCTCAATTTGGGCCGGCTTGAAAGTGGGAAAGTCGAACTCAGACTTAAATAACATAGAGTCTCTGGGGGATTTGCTCATATGTGTCGCAGATACAACTTGTTCACGTGCCCTTGCAAAGGTGTTACTTGACTATGGGGCGAACACTGATTTTAGAAGAGGTGGTTGGGGTCTGACACCTCTTCACCATGCAGCTCGGCAAAATTCGCCTCAAGCAGCGGAACTAATGAGATTTCTCCTATACCAAGGAGCAGATCCAGAAGTTAAAGCTGGAAACTCCAAGTTAAAGATCTCAGAAGAGAAAGGGGCAAAAGGAATAGCCAAGTGGCTTGGGATGTCGTGGGACGAGCTGATTCAGAAGGTGAAACTGGACAGGGAAAACGGAATTTGTCCGCCGGAATATATGTAGAATTGCTGCTTTGAGATTCTCTAATTCTATCGTGCAACATCACCCGATAAAACTATTTGACAGGACAGGATTAAAGCAACGAGGGCCCACCCGGGGATCAGCTTGGGTTGTAACCTGCGATCGTTAGTCTTTATACAGATATCGATTCCTGTGCTCCCATCTCACCATTCTGCGTGCAATCCACGTTGAGCTGTAGCTTCTGCGCTTTGTATTAGTTCCGTCTAACACGTTGAGGCTTGCAATGAGATGTTACGGACCTTCAACTGTTGCTCGTCGATCTCCACTTGCGAGACGTTGGCAGAATCTAGCGATTGGTTGATGAGTCGTATTTTGTCCTGCTGAATCCACTGGACATACTGTTACTTGTCAGCCACATTCCCCGTGTACCGTGTACCGAGTGCAACGTCGCCAAAGGGCGGTGGCCGACTTACGGTTTCTATTGAGTCACGAGTTATGTATCTGGTCGTTAGCACTTCCCGAGTTTGCCCTATTCTATGCACTCTGTCCACGGCTTGAGCTTCAGCCATTGGATTCCATTGAGGCTCAAGCAGGTGCACATGATTCGCCGCCGTGAGATCGACCCTACAAGTGTGCCTATGAGCGAAACAGGGACATAAATATCATAGTCCAAGACAGGCGACGTACCCTTCTCCTGCACTACCGATACTCGCCAACATCACAGTGCACTTGGGGTCATCGTTGAACTGGCACATTGCCTTCCGCCGCTCTTGAAGGGAGGACTGGCCGTCTATCCGTCGAAAGATAAACCCGTTCAGTTCAAGGTGGCGCTGGACTATATCCAGCATTTTGGTCCAGAAACTGAAAACTAAACTACTCATGTGCAGATTAGTGTTACGACTCTCTAAAAGCTATTTGACGTTGAATACCTCTTTCTAGGTAGGTTTTGATCGCCCTCATTTTCCGAAAACTGTTCCTGACGAAGATTTCGCATCAATACATTGACTTTGGCGGATGGTCGGACGAATGTTCCGGGTACTTGGGAAACTGTGCTGTCTCCTTCGCTGACGATCTGTTTTATGCACTTTGGACAAGCTGGACCATCGTCTGCTCCACATTCCTGGCTTCGAATGGCACATCCCGGGCATATGGAATGTTGACAATGAAGCTCGAAATCTATCGACGCAGGTGCCTCGATTTCATCTAAAAAACCCCCACACATGTCGCACCTGGCTCTGCAGACGCGCATCATTTGCCAGTCAACAGATCCGTTGTCTCTGCTTTTCCAGGCTTCGAGAGCTGACGTGGGAAGGAGATGCTCCCCATGGTCACAAATCCGCCGCAAGAAGCCGATGAGAGTTAAAATGTTGGTGTCCTTTCGATGGTCGACTTTGGGTGCACCAGGGTGACGCCGCGAGAGTTGAGATGCAATCTTGGCTGTCTTCATTTTGAAGAACTCGTACAGCTCTCTGTCCTCCGGAGACAGCATAATCCATTCAATCTTTTCAGATCGTTGAGGCAGCTCAAGTAGGCCTTTGTTCAGCGACTTTTTGCGCCTCAGACATGTTGCACGGACCAAATCTTCAAGCCTCCGTAGGCCGTGTGGTTGGTTTTGCTTGATTGGTTTAGCTATCCAAAAATCAAAGGCAGCTTTGTCTGCGAATGGCTGCACCCCAACGAAGCTCAGCAAAGCGCCGTAGTCATCCAGCGAATTGTGTATGGGTGTGCCAGTTAGACACCAGCGATGCTGGGCGTCTATTGCGCACGCGGCTTGGAAAGCCTGAGATGACCTTGTGCGAATGTGGTGAGCTGGGTGCCACGTCAGCTGCATTCTTAGCCATTGTCAATGTAGGGATATCATGCTAACCCTCATCAAGGACAATACGGTGCCATCGTTCCAGGTAAAGTGCCCCTTTCGCAGTCCACTCGGACCTCATTGTTTCGTACGTTGTGAGAACCACGTCAAAATTCTTTAGCTTCTTGGATAGGCATTTCCGTTCGCATCCGTGGTAGATTACTGCTCTCAGTTGTCCAAGATGAATGTGCCTAAAGCATCGTTAAATCATTGCAGGCAGCGTTCCCAGAGTATTCAAACTTCTTAATTTGCTCTTGCCAGCCACTGATTGCTGAAGATCCTTAGCATACGCGTGCTGTCTTTCGGGTCGCGGCTTAACATACTTGATTTAGGTGCGACAATCAAAGTTCCCCAAGACTCCTCGTCATTTGATGCAATAAGCTCGCTGGCTAGAGAATCCAACGACCAACATATTAGGGCCAAGACACTCAATGTCTTTCCAAGACCCATCTCCTAAACTTGAAGTAAGTCTATGGACCAATCCGTGTCAGGGAGGGTCACACTAACATCAGCAAGTATTCCACCGTACACTGGCCTTGGAGAAATCTCATGGGCTCCGGTTATCTTGTGTCGATATCTGTGCAGATCATGTTAGGATATGTTCGTTGGTTTCGTACTTACAATACTTGCTTCATAGTTGCATCGGGACATGATGATAATTCCCAAAGTGACGGAAACTTGGATCCTTTCAGGATACCCTCTTCCTTCTCTATCATCATAGCCAGAGCTGTAAGTTGATGTCTGCTCTTGTCAGTACAGTAATCAAACTCTATCAATTATGAAAGATGATTCGTACTCTTTCAGAGTGGAGCGGAGCCGACAACTAGGTTCGGCTGTCGACGAACTCCCAACATCATCTGCGAGGTCAAAGACAGGTAGGAAACGGCATTTATTCATCTCGTCCAGAAACTCTGATGATTTGGGACTTCCGCTGTCTGAGGATATTGATAATTGCTCCAATTTTGGCATATCAGATCCCGGACGGAGTAGGTAATGTGGGTTGGTATATTTCACATGTCTGTCGTACTCGCTGGTCGATGGATGTTGAAGATAGAGTCCGGCACCTGAAAGCAAGTTCCCCACCGCGACTCGTTCACTAGAAAGGCCGTAGACTATGATCCGCACAGGGCATTTTCGCGATACACAGGAGTTGCGCACCTTGGCCTTCTTTGAAACCTGGTCCGACTTTTCATTCGGTGCTATCAATGTTGCGCTGAGTTGGATGCACCAGTCATTTAAGAGCGTACTCAATGCTGGGCAGGTTATAAGGCCCGCATATTTGTTCGAATTTTGGAAGGAAAGCTTCAGCATGTCTGCACAAGCTGTGATGCTCACTGGAACTTGCTGCGTGCCGGAACTACTTTTGAAAGAGGACGTCGCAGTTGCCATCACCTGCGGCAACGTTACCAACACTCATCAGTCGCTTGTTAATACTCATTAACTTACCACTCCAAAGCAGGCATCATACTTGGGAGCAGCAGAGAGCTCCACAACGGAGTCTGAATCCGGCACTTCATCACAGGCATCAGGTACTGTGAAAGGATTAGAGAAGGGACTTATAACTCCACTGGGCCCCGAAGGCCTCCCTAGCTTACCACTATTCGAAGCCAACATGCTGGACTCTGAGGTTGCTGGACTTTGGAGTTCGCTCTGCATCTCCACATTCGTAGTCAATTCTGATTCTAAAAGATTCACTCCGTTGTTCATGTATGGCCACTCTGCTGAGAGACCCGTCTTGATACCCGCCACGAGAGTACTGTTCTCGGCATTGGTCGGAAAGCAAGTCATCCCAACGGCTTGGCTTTGAATTGGTGGCAAATACTGTAGTAGACTCAAATCGAGTTGATGACCAAAAGATGCTGCAGATTCGACCCAGAAGTCAGTATTTAGGTTACAAAAATCAGTCCCCCAACTGGATTCAAGGTCGTTTAGTTGTTGAATTTGGTAACCAGGCGGGTTGAGAGGAGTCAATGGGTCCTCATCGTTGTTGTGTTGACTCATATTCATTAACACAGCAGTATTTGGCCCGGAGACTAGAGTCTGTGCAGCGGTTCCAGTATCTGGATACATGAACAGCATGTTGGCAAGGGATGTCAACTCAACGTCAGCTACGCTGTGACCAGTTTCGAGAACTTCGCCGCCGTTGGAAAGCAGATGAGCTGTATCAGAAAAGGAAGGCTCCATCCTGAATGGTGCCGGAGAGTGAACGTCGAAGCTGTTGGTCAGCTCCGACGCCGTCTCGGTAGACGGAAAATAGGGATGTATGGTGCCGAGTTTGGCTTCCTGAGGTGGGATGGGATTGCTCAAGTCTGACGATACATCAAACCCTACGGGGTGCCGGGAGTGTTCCACGCAAACACGTTTGCAGCCTCTTTCTGTGTCCTCCTCATCTAAAAAAACATGTCTCTTTTTGCCAATGTCGTTGGCGGTCATTTCGAGAGACCAGCTATGTCGCTCCATGACCTTGAGACCGATGACACCCAATTCGACACGAACGGGGAGAGCAGCAATACTTTGAAGTGAAAGAAATACAGGTGGAAGGTTTTGTGCACGCAGATCGAGATGTACTGTAATTTGAAGCAAGGCTGACTCGCCGCATGCCTTGCCTCAGCACAGCCTTGCTGTTACAACAGCACTAAAGGCAGCTCATGCCACCAAGGACGCATGACGTACGAACATATGCTGGAAAGGAAACACCAAGATAAGGTCGCGTAATATGATCTGATATAATCAGACTGACCTGCCTTCACTTCTGCTGCGTTTAAGACCCCTTTTAGTGTTTGTATGCCGGTCTATATTTTGGAAGCTTTAAAGCAACCTGGATAGTTTCTTAGGTTTATTATAAGTATTTTAGATTTGTACGGGGTCCTGCGATTTGATAGCTTTTACCCACAACAAGGTTAGGCTTGTGCGCCTAGGTAGTAGCGGGTTTCGCCTGGCGGAAGCAAAAATATGCTGTATCCATTTCGCAGCAAATTTGAGCTTTCTTGCTTTCTGTCATTAAGTATTGCGACCATTCAAGATCTTTCTCCAAGCGTTGGACACAGACCGAAGGAAAGTGAAAGGGAGAATTGGTGAAGTGGATAGAAAAGTATTGCGTGATGCAGAAAGAACCAGCTGGTGTGTCGTGACGGGGTTCATTTACTAAGTTTGCCGCCAGAAAAGTCTTCAATCATACGTCTCGGCGGGAAATGCAGTCAACCCAGTTTCAGTGTCTGGAAAGGGCCTGTATGTCTCTGCCTGGAGATTGTACAAGATAGTATCAGATTGAAGGAGAGCTCGCTGTTGGCCAAGGGGAGTCTTGGCACGGACATCCGCCCAAGGCAGGCATTGCATAGCAATCAACCAGAGTGTTTCGTGAGCATTTTGCGGATCTTCCACTTGTCTCTTAGATTGTTAAGACAAATCTTACCACCTCACCTCCTTTCCTAGTTCTACCATACTCGATTATGCTCCCAGAGTCCTCTTCAAGAACTATTGCTCGTCTCCCGCCACCTCTCTTCAATGCGTCGCTTCACCGTTCGCTCACGCTGCCACCGGTTCACTCCACAACCTCAAACTCCGCTTCACCCTTATATGCCTCCTCCTCTTCTGCCTCTACTCCTCCGTCCAAGCACTTCAGAACCAAGGGCCTTTCATACGCATCCGGCCACGCCTTGACCTCCTCTTCAAACCCGAATACCTCCCTCATAGACCTTGCACTCCACAGGGCAACAGCGGGTCTCAAGCGTATCCTCAGCCTCCGGCCGACAAGGAGCTTCGGGTCAGAGATTCGCAATGCGTCGAAAAGGCGCTCGGTGCTGGACTTGCAGGGTATCGGGTGGGAGACGAGGGTCAGATGGGAAGCACGATATGGGTGAAGTTCTGTACAGGTGGCTCTGCTGATGCCTGGTATTTCTCTTCCGTGCTTAGGGGTTTTGCGGGATTTCTTTGATTTGTGCCCGCTAATCCGCTCGGAATCGGTTTCGCTAGCTCCGCTGAGACTAGAAGGTGGCTTCTGGCTCAATACATAGCCTGTCTCGTTGTCCACAACTTCGAAGCGGGAGAGGGTGGATTCAAGGTCTTGATGCTCGGTCTGGAGTGGGTATCTTTGGAGAACGGTGCTGCAGATCGTGTAAGGTCGCTCCTCCAGTAAGGTGGTTTCGAGAGTGACTTTGAAGGGAGAGGGCTCAAAACTGATACGCCCTGTTGGGTCAGAGAGGGAGATTGTGTCTTGGCTCAGGACGATCCTGTTACGCAATCTTGGTGGGTTGGTGGGGATGGAGATGGCTGTGAATTTAGGCGCAGAGAGCTCAGTAACGGTGGCTTGCAACGCTTTCGTGCGCTTTCGCAAATGCTTCCTTTTCAAAGAGCGGAGCCAGTGGCTCTTGCTAGAATAGGAGCTGTCGGCGTTCTCCTTGGTAGGGAGGCCCACACGGGTAGAAGAGGTATTTTTTGCCGTCTGAGTGGTAGCACCATCCTCTTTCTCTGGTCTTACTGTAGAAAGATGCCGACTATAGTCTGGGTCGTAATAGGGAGACACTTTCACATCAGCCAGAATCTTGAACCGGTGAATAGCCAAGTCTGTTTCATAGCCGAATAGTCTGAGCTCCTTCTTCTTGAGTGCTGGATTTAGAATCATCACATCGTTGCTAGAATGCCACTGCTCCGAATATGAAGGCGGATGCACGCCAGTAATACGATCTTCATTCGATCGAGCCCAAACGCCCATGATGAGGATCAACAGAGACGTTGTGGGTCTTTATCAACGTGGTGTAAGTTGATGATCAAGACTGACTTTAAAATTGGTTCCTTGGGGGAGACTTTCCCCTTTATCGTGCCTGGTATAGGTGGGTTATGCATTAAGCTGAAGCCAACGGCCAAGGGCGGCGCAGGAAAGACAAATTCTGAATATCACACAACGATATTACAGAAGAGCGGAAAGAGTGCAGATAAGCCTCAAAGAACGAAGAAGAGGATCAGGTTGGTATTCAAATGTAACTTGTAACTTGTAACTTGTAATTTGTAACCTGTATCGAGTTGGAAATGGGGGCCCATCCTGGGTTTTATCTGTGGGAAGTTGGTGGATGAGACTGGGGCCAACGAACAGGTGCATTGTTAGAACCAAAGAACATCAATCCACAAGGCCCAGCATTTTGGACAAGCAGGTAGTACTTCATGGTCATGACCGTCAGCTATAATGCAAGATTGCAGTTTGGTGACGTGGAGAATAGGATGAGCAGAGATTGTTCTCTTTCCAAACCCAATTCCGAGCAAGAAGGTCACAGGAGACAAACCCTATGCCAATGGGCATTTTAACCGAGTGACCTACTATCACCACCGGTGAAGATCATAAAAGAAGAGAATAGCAGCATAATCGCGGCGATGCTAGATAACGATGACGACGATAACAATATGAACAAGTGAGGCAGACATCAACCTGAAAAGCGATGATTTCATGTGGGGAAATTGCCCAACCCGGCCTAGGCACGAACATTCGTTATTTAACCACCAACCTCATTGCCTCCTTCGTTATGCTTGCAGATGTTCTATTGTGCAATTATTGCTTTCACAAAATCACTGGACAATACCCATCCTTGAGCTCAGCCAGACAGTTGACGAGCAACATTTGGTATGTGATGCGGACAAGAGGTCAACGCCTCGAGGCCGCACCCTTCGCTTGTATCACCTCACAATCAGTAAGGGCACATCAGACCAGACAATTGCGTCCACCTTGCAAAACTCATGCTGCTCGGAAGGAATGAGTCGAGGAATGAAGTGAGTCCGGCTGCGATTGTCCGAAAATAGCGGCGTGTGCTTGGAGAGATGGCCTTCTGTTGCCCCCTGCAGGAATCCAGGGAACCGGGGGTGTTTCAGCATGATGGATGCAAGATCTGGCCAACATGGACAAGTACAACAATGTACACGCCCTTGCGTTCGTCTCGGTGGTCTGGAGACTGGACACCTTCATGGTTGTACGTTCTTATAGTCCCTGGCGAGCTCTCATTGCTACCATCAAAGTCAACCACAAGCTCCTTTAGCTCTTCCTCCTGCTCCTTGACAGGCATCCTCACAGGCATCCTCCTCGCTGGCTTGAGTCTGGCCTCTGGGGTCGCCAAGCTGGTTCCAGCCTCTCTATTACCAGAAAACGTTACAGCCAAGTCTCATAATGCTACATTGCTGATCCAATATCGAATCCATCTTCGAGTAAGTAGACTGCCAATGGGTCACTAAGCGTCGTTGGTTACACGGAATCTGTCTATGCTACCAATTATCAATATCACTTGCATCTTTATATTTGTCATGTCTGTTCATGATAAGATGTCCCGAGAACCGAAATTCCTTCTGGAAGAATATGTGGCAGACTCTGTTTCAATGCAAGACTTGCCCCCCATCCAATCATGTTTTGAAACTTCAGCATGGAGAACATATACATATATTTGATGCGCTCCTGTCACTATCCCAACATAGGATTATACCGTCAACCTTCATGCGAAGCCAGAATTTGCAATTATTGCATCAGAGGACTGAAAAGAGGACGCCGTTCGAATGTACAAAACCACGCTTTGCCTGGCTCTTTTCCTTTCTTCTAACCTCCAACACTCCTTTGACGTCTCTTTCCTCGACAAGCGCCGGTCCGCTATTTGCCATTCTTTGCCGCACATAGTTGCACTTTCACTCATTTAATTCTGTTCAAAGCATGCATTTCGCCGTCACCACCCTCGTCGTTAGTCTTCTCCTCGCTTTGAGCTCGACTACCCTGGCAACTCCGGTACCATACCAAAGGTAAGTACGGCTCCGTGTACAGTCGTGCGAGAACAAGAATTGATACAAGTTCTTTGTGGCAGACCCTCGACACTGGAAGGGCGAGCTCCGTTTCCAATGCCTCATCCGAGCCCTGTTGACGAGAGCAAATGGGTCGGTTCGGAGTCCCAGTAATGAGTTGGCGTGAAAGCTTTCTCGGCTGAGCAAAATGAAAGCTGTATGAGTTTGAGGAGCGGATTTAGTGTCTTGCAGACACGTCAGACCATGTTGGATGGGTCTGATATCATTCCCGGGTCGTGCATGACTTGAAGTCAGCATTTGAGTTGTCTCCCTTCATTGGACATGCTGGCCAATGATCAAGGGTGATGCATTATGGGCCGGCAATATCGATTGTTGCTTGAGGAACTGCCCTTTTGGGCTGAATTACTGTAGGCGCTCTACTGCGTCCTTGTGGAGAAATATTATTTGTGTATCCCTCTTGTCGTGATACCCGCGCTGTAGCTGCCACAAAGACGAGGTTACCCATCCGGCGGTCATGGTCCAGCAAGCGCCAATATCAATCACCGCCACCCCCCAACTCTCCCTTCATCCCATCTAGCCCTACTCTCCCTCCTCCTTTCTAGCACCGCCGTCCCCTCTCTGATCCTCCTAATCCAATCCCCCACCTCGCGCTCTCCAGCCATCGCAGCCCCACCATGATGCCCACCGCCCCCATCCTCCAGAAAACTCTCCTCCACAGCCCTGATAATAGCCTCCTGCTCTGCAATCCCACTCAGCAGCCTCGCGTACATAGCCTTCGGACTCCACGGCTGCAGCGCGACATCCATCTTCGCCTGCTTCCGTCTCCACTGTGTCGATAGGGTTGTGTGCTGGAGGAGGAGCTGTTGGGTCTGGTCTCTGAGGGTGGTGAGGTGGGTCTGGAGGGATAGAAGGCGCGTGGCGAGGGTTAGGTTTGTGTCGAGGGCTGTGATTAGGGGTTGCAGGGATTGAGCGTGGGAGGGGTGGGTGGAGGCGAGGGCGGAGAGGAGAGTGGGGTTAGAGAGGATAGGTGTTGATGGCGTTGGTGGGAGTGGACGAGGTGTGTCTGCGGACTGGGTCGGTAGGAGAGGAGGAGGTCGGTCGAATGATAGCTGTGTTAAAGGTGACTGTGGCAACTGTGGAGTTCCTCGACCA